GTAAGAATGTAATTATTTTACTAGTAATTCAAGATATTAAATTGATATCTAATTCTTAGTGAACATTTAAATTTTTTTTATTTTTTTATTTCTCACCGGTTTGACTCCGGTCTGACCCATTGACCCTTGACCCATTATCTTGACCGGTTCAATTGACAGTCCGGTTTTCCGTACCTTGCAATTTTAAATACAGCAGGTAGCAGCATGCATTCACCAGCCTGAGGACGTCAATTTGACGTGAACCGGGAGCAGCACGCCACCGCAGTAGCTGAGTAGCGTGAGCTTGTGCTCTGGTCCCTGGCAAACAAACCAACGTCTCCGTATAACAAAATCATCACCTGAAATGGAAATCCTCTTCGCCATTTTAACCTTCACCCTCGTCTCGTTTCTGGGTCTCTTCTTCATCTTCTCTCTTCTCCTCGTCTCCCTCTACGCCGGCCAGTCCGTCGGAGACCCAAAATACGCCCCCGTCAAAGGCACCATCTTCCACCAGCTCCTCAACTACAATACCATCTTCGATTACTATGTGGAAGTCGCCAAAACTGTACGCACTTTTCGGCTTCTGGGTCTGGGAACGAGCGACCTTTTTACCACCGACACGGTAAACACCGAGCACATTCTGAAAAGCCAGTTCAGTAAGTATAGCAAGGGCAAGCATGATGAGGAGCTTATGGTTGATCTTCTTGGGCGGGGGATTTTCGCTGTCAATGGGGAAACGTGGAAGCAGCAGAGGAAGCTCGCGAGCTATGAGTTCTCCACAAGGGTTCTTAGCGATTTCAGCTGCTCTACTTTCAGAACCAACGCCGCCAAATTGGTCGGGTTTATTTCAGGATTCTCCAAGGAGAGTGTGGCTTTTGATATGCACGTAAGTGTTCGATTATTTTCTAGGAAATTTTATGTGGTTCTCCTTGGGAGAAATGGCAACTGACTTTGTTTCCTAGTTTGAGTGGAAACTTTAGTGCGGATCCTTTGAAGTCCTTGAAAGGTTATACTATAAAATGGTTTTGCTTCCATGCTGGGTTTTTTCCCTTCTAATTGCAGATATCACTTTATGCCATCTTAGAATTCATAGCAAGACATATACTCTTCCGGTCCTTAATATAAGACCAATTTAACTAATTTGATTAGATTAAAGAAATTAGGTAAGTTATTTAATTATACGAAAAGTGACACATTTTTCCTAAAACACCATAATCATTTTTCTTAATACCCTCTCTCCCTCTTCTACTTGATTATGGTTTGGGGAGTATCCATAAAGATAATTTAGAGAAAATTAAAAAATATGAGAAATGGGTCTTATATTTAGGACCAAAATCAACTTAAAATTGGGTCCTATATTAAGAACCGGAGGAGTATAAAGTTTTGTTCCCTTTATAGGATGTACTATTGAGATACACGTTGGATTCTATATTCAAAGTCGGGTTTGGAGCGGAACTGAATTGCTTAGAGGGATCAAGCAAAGAGGGGATTGAATTCATGAAGGCTTTTGATGAGGCAAATGCTACAATTTCCTGGCGCTATGTGGATCCCTTTTGGAAGCTCAAGAGGTTTCTCAACATTGGCTGTGAAGCCACCCTCAAGAAAAATGTGAAAGTAATTGATGATTTCGTGCATCGAGTGATTAGGATAAAAAAAGAACTCTTGGGTAATCAGCAAGATCAAGTGAGTTGATCACAGAGTCATTATCATCTACTATATGTTATGGTTGTGCTTCAGTTTGTTTGGAATTTCCTTGTCATTTTTCCTTTCCGTAAATCTGATTATCAAATGCTCTCTGTCAAGAAAGCATTTCTGTTGTTTAATAAAATCGTTCACCAATTTCATTAGTATTAAAAAATATTTGTTTCCATTAAATTGCTAAGATGACTCATTTCTGTTTTGATTTAAGGTGCTTTTGCCTCTGGAAGAAAATCATTTTCTAATTTTATGGAAAGCTCTTTTTAATTTTGTCTTATCCTCATAAAAACTTATTTTCTTTAAACCAATCTGATGTTTTGGTCAAAGGTCATTGATAAGAAAAAGCCTTCTTGACAAAATATGCAGTTTTTTCTTTTCCAAAAAAGTATGAAACTACTGCTGGTCTTCATGTATACAATTTTCTTGAGCGGTGCTATTGAGAATTCTTTGAACTGATGGCGACATTTGCAACTTTTTGGGGAGGTTTTCAGATTGATAAAGAGGACATACTGTCTAGGTTTCTGATGGCAAGCAAGAAGGACCCCACAATGGACGATCAGTATCTGAGGGATATAATTCTGAACTTCATGATTGCGGGCAGAGATACTACCGGCAACACTATCGTGGTTCTTCTATTTGCTCTGCAAGCACCCTCTCATCCAAGAGAAGGTTGCACAAGAGGTGATAGAAGTCACTGGCACGCAGGAAGGTAAGCCCGACATACATGAGTTTGCGGGCAATATAACAGAAGACATCCTTGAGAAAATGCATTATCTTCATGTGGCTCTGTCAGAGACCTTGAGGTTGTACCCTGCAGTTCCAGTTGTAAGTTATATGACAGTGTCCACCCTTATTGCTAAAGCATGTATCCTGCGGTTTCATTTTTAGAACTGTTTCGCGTTTTATGTTCTAGAATGTATCAATTAACCTCCGTTGTTCTTGTTTTATATAGTGTTTTATCAAACAGTTTGTGATTTGTATTTGTTGGCTATGTCAGATGCACTAATTGATTTGATTCTGGCAGAGGGAAACTGAATTTGCTGAGACAGCCCATTTTGGATATAACCTGTTCAAATATGTGCTTATGGAATGAGCAATTTTTGGCACATCTCCTTAAGCTGTAAAGCAAATTGCCATTACCTGACTTTTGTTTCACGCGCAGCAATTCTTACAGGCCATGATGAAAGCTGACAATGAGCTTGGCTATGGGCCTGAGTTTTCTCAACTTATAATTTTTTTGTTTTTTCAGAAATGACCTCAGATCACAAATGAGATTGAACTGACAACCTCTTACTGCCATAATGAAGCCCAACACATTCCTATTTCTATACAAAATAAAACCCTCTACCTGACCTGTGATCATACATGGTTTAAGCAGCATTGTGTTACAAACTTGCTTTGTAATTTGTATGATGTGCATTTTGCTGTAATGACTTATCTATGTTTGATTTGTAACTCAAGGATGGGAGGACAGCAGAAGCAGATGACGTCCTCCCTGATGGCTACGCTGTGAAAGAGGGCGGTGCAGTGTACTACATGTCCCATGCTATGGGTCGCATGACCGACATTTGGGGTGAGGATGCTGAGGAATTTCGCCCCGAACGATGGCTCAAAGATGGAGTTTTTAAACCTGAATCTCCGTTCAAGTTCATTTCTTTCCATGTTTGTATCATTTTTCCTTCTCCCATTTTCTTCATTGCTGACAATTTTTCACTCGTTCTGGTACTGATAATACTTTCCTTATGCCATGATCATTTGCAGGCTGGACCTCGAATGTGCTTAGGGAAGGAATTTGCTTACAGACAGATGAAGATAGTTTCAATGGCTCTTCTTAGGTTCTTCAGATTCAAACTAGAAGATGAAACAAGGAAAGTGACTTACCGTGTCATGTTAACACTTCACCTTGACAAGGGTCTCCCTCTACTTGCAGTGCCAAGGTCTTGATGAACGTGCTAATGACCATCTCTTGTTCTTCACTGTGACGTTTCGGAACTGTGATTCTCAATAAAAGGGTGAAGTGTTATGTTGTACTCCCTCCATTCCTTATTATAAGAGACATTTGATGCTTATGGTATGTTCTTATATATAAGAGACACTTAAAAGTTGTCTCTACTTTTTTGTGTTGATTTGCTATTTTACCCATATTTATTGTCTCTAACTCACACTCTCTCTCCTTCCCACTTCTTTTTTTTTTAATAATTTAATTGTTCTCTATCATGCTCTCTCCTTATTAATGAGGGTATTTTTGGAAAAAAATTATACTTTTTACACATTGATTGTTCTTAACTAATTTTAACTGTTTTTTTTATCAACGTGATTTGGTTATTCATCTCTTATAATAAAAGATGGAGGGAGTATCGTTTTATATTTTCTGTGTTTATGTACTATCCAGTCGATTTGGTTTCATGTAAGTCCGTCGTGGCATGACCACATTCTTGTGTTCTCAATGGTAAGATTAAAAAAAAAAAAAAAGGCAAATGATCATGTATTTAATTACAAGTGACTTGTTATAAGAACCAACTATTTTTGGATCGGAGCTTTCATAAATAACGTTTCAATCATAGTTTACAAAATATAAAAAGAGTTCTGATTTGACAAAAGTAAAAATGCTTACAAGATCTTAAGAAGCAAACATGCTCACTTTCACATTCACATATTCACTTCCTCACAGTTTGAGACTAAGAGAGTGTTTGGATAGAAACTAAATTATGGTTTCAAAAGTACTTTTACGGTTTACGAAATATTTACGAAATAAATATGTAAAAGAATTTATTTTATTTTACAGAAAAGTGTTTCTAAAACTATAATTTGAAGATTGTCAAACATCCCCTGAGTAGATGTAACTAAATATTCTTTTGAAATATGTCATAATTCAAAAACAAAAAACAACTAAGAAAATTTATTTGAATCGGTAAGAATATTAACACACAAGATCATAAATTCAAATCTTAATGTCAATGTCAATGCTTTAGTGGCAGACAATTCTCTAAGTACCTTTTCAACCTAGAGACCTTATGAGATGTATCACTATTTCCATCCAAATAAAGAAGGCAATTGCATATTTAGATGCTCAGCCGGAAAACGAAAATATGCCCGGGGAGAAGGAAGAAATAAGAGCAACGAAGAAGACGTAGATAAGAAGAAAAAAAATGAAGAACTGAGAAGGGGGGAAAGAAAAAAGAACCAGTCGGATATTCTCTGTTACAAGATCTATCCCAAGTTTCCTCATCAGCAACTTGAATAATTTTTTGATTTTTTCTCAATTGAACGCCAGAGTCCCTCTATGAACTTCTCCTTTCTACTCTGAAGCCAGATTCAAATCCATGGTTAGCACTGGGAAAACGGGCTGGCCCGGCCCTACAGGGCCAGCCCGTCACGGGCTCGGGCTTAAACGGGCCGGCCCGTTTAAGCCCGAGTTCTAAAAATGAAGCATTTTTCCAAGCCCGGCCCGTGAGATAACGGGCTCGGGCCGGCCCGCGGGCTTTTGGCCGGTTTAACTAAAATGTATTATTATTATTATTTTTGCCTATTTTATCGAAATAATAAAAATGAAACAATAAAATTACTAATAAAAGATATAAATATAAATATAAATAAGTCACAAACATAAACATCATTATGTCAAAACATCTATCACAATATAATAGAGTCTATTGAATGAACAAACTAAATAGAGGACAGACATAAACAACTAAATAAACACTAAGTTCAGTAAATAATTACAATATGGATGATCTTGTTTAATTATAAATAATTAACAAAAAAGTTTAACTAACAAACATAGTATACATAAAAAATAATTGTTTGTCCTACTAACAAAAAAGAAAAGAGTTCATTATCCCTAGTTCTAAATTTGTTTCTAACTATAAAAATGATATAGATCTTTATTTTAATTCAAAAGATTCTTTAACCAATTCTATTTCAAGTATAAAAAATATGAAAGAATGATAAATAAAGATTGTAAAATAACACATACAGTATTTGAATAGGTTTTGACAACTTATAAATAATAACACATTTTTGTTAATACTTAGAATTATGGTGATTTATTTTTTGTGAATGCCATTTGTGTGAGCAGTGGGGGTAAGTAAAACTAAGAGTATATTATGTGTAAAATATTAGGGTTTTTCTTTTTAAGTTAAGAAAAAAATATAAAATTTTTTTAAAAAAATATTGGCGGGCTTAAACGGGCCGGCCCGCGACCCTACAGGGCCGGCCCGTTTATTTTTCGACCCTACAGGGCTGGCCCTTTTAAGCCCAACTTCCCTTTCAAGGCTCCAAAATACAAGCCCGGCCCGCGATTTAAACGGGCTTAAACGGGCTCGGCCCGACGGGCTCGACCCGTTTTCCCGGCTCTATCCATGGTACAGTTCGGCGTTTCAAATCCAAGTGTTTTATTCTACCGATAGAGAGAGAGAGAGGAGATTGTATCGTAACCGTTAATCATGTATAAAAGGTCATGATTTCATTTCTTTATAAAAGAGTCACAGGTCATTGTCTCACACTTTCCAACGAGTTCATTTCCAATTTCTTTACCCACACCCCTATTCGTTTCTACCTCTCACGTACCAACTCAAATTTTTTTTTTTTACCAACCAAGCGATTTTAAATTTAAAACCCATAAATGTTAGTGCTTAGTTACTTTTATTTTTTAATGATAAATACTTATTCATATCTCTTTTATAATTATACTTTTATATTCTATATCTAAAGCTTTAAATTTTACTTCTATTATTTTAGAAGAATATTTAATTGATAATATATGTTTATTAATAATGTAATAATATATGGCGTATTGCATTTTTTTAATTTAAATAATTTTTTACAATTATATATGAATGTTTTGTATATTCTAATTAAATTATATTATTTTAATAATGACCGGTTTGATTCCGAACTGACTCTAGTTTAAACCACTACCTTAACCAGTTTAATGACCGGTCTGGTTTTTAACTTGTAATGGAGATTTTTTGGTTTTATCTAAAGTATTGAATAGTTGTTGTCTAATTTTATTCTTATTTAATTTTCTTGGAAAACAAAGAAATGAAAATGGTTTGTAAATGTAAAGAGAGGAAAAAAGTTAACAAGAATAAATTTGAAAAGTTTTATCAATTTAATGTATTCCTCAATATGTGAGAATGAGTTACAAGTGATTTACTCTCTCCCGTCCAAAATATAACACACTTTAATTATACATCAATATTAAAAAAATTGTAATCGACTTATTAAATTAAAATTTTTTACAACTTTTTTCATTTTAGATGAGGTTGCAAATGAGAGAAAAATATACAAAGAGTTTTATTTAAGCAGTACTTGTATGGATAAAATTGAAAAATAAACATTAATTACTTTCTAAGTGACTTATATTTTGAATTGGAAAAGATTAGTTAACACAATAACATGATCATATTAGGGAATTAAATGTAGGTCTTAAATATTGGGAATCAAAATTTAATAAGCTCATGTGTGGTGCCAGCTGCATTATCAATGCAATTAATTAACTGTTTGTAAACAGAATACTAACTTGGTGCTTTCTTTTATTTAAAATAAAAGCTCAATTTTATCTATTTACGTTTATCAAGAACTTATTTAAAGTCAATTTAAAATAATAAATATGTAAGGCATGTATTTTTTTTCAAACATACCCTTATTAATGAAAAGAATAAATAAAAGATGTAATAAATGAATTAAAGAGAAAATAAAATATATGGAAATAAAATTGAAAAAAATCTCATTTCATGTTTAGACAAAAGTGAATGTTATCTTATTAAAAAAAAAATCAAATCCCTCTAATAAGGTTTAACTTATATTTTGAATTAGAGGGAGTATGTTCTGGTCAAAGATATTCGCACATAACCATAGATTTTATAGCAGAAAATAATAAAACTAATACGTACTCCTTCCAGTTCTATACAGTCTACATAAGAAAAGAGTTTCAAAATAAGTACGCATTAGTTGTAATTATAAGTTTTAAATAATTGATTTGCCCATGACAAAGAATAGTCAAAATTAGTTAAAAACAATAAAAAGTTAGATCTATACTTTTTTAAAATATGTCCTTATAATAAATAAAAAAGAGGATGAAAGGAAATGGATGAGAAAATATAATAAGAGAATGACAAATGAAAAAGAAAATGGTTAGACAGATTCAAAATAAAACTTGTAAAATGGACAACACTTTTTCCTAGTATTGGCCAACAAATGATATTGTGCCTGTTTGGGAGGGCTTAAATTGGGTGAGAAGCTGCTTATGTTGAGTAGAAACCTGATTGAAAATATTAATCCAGTTTGAAAGGACTTAAGCCTAACTGAGCTTGTCTGGAATAAGCTCACCCGACGTGCGTTCAAGTGGAAGCCTAAAGAAGAAGCTTATTTTGAAGAGCTTATTGGCTTTAGCGTTGTGATGCATCAGATATTCCCCCATTTATTTTTCTCTCACTTCTGCCATATTATTCCATCATAATTCACTTGTTCGTTTTTTTTCGACCAAAGCTCTCCCACGTCTCCTCCCTGCCGCCCAACGTGCTCCATCGCCTCCTCGCCAAAAGCTCCGTCGCTGGTTGCCGTGAGCTCCGTTGCGTCTCCGGCGGAAGGTCATGCATCCTCGCGGTTGCCGGAGCATGAGAGCTTATGTTACGGCCTTCTCTATTACCTTCTTCCTTTGAAGCCGGAGGAGGTAGTTGAAAACATTTCAACTGATCATCATGGAGATCCAAATCAAAAAGTGGAAGGCAGACGTTGTGAGCATAGAGCAGAGGAAGGGTGGACGAATGAGAACAAAAAGAAACAAGACAGGTCGCTAGACACAGCAGAATCAGAATACGTGAAGAATTTGTCGAATGGGTCTGCGCTTGAAGTCCTTCTATCGGCCAGAAATGGCGTTTGGAAGGTGAAGTTGGTGATTGACACGAAGCAATTGGAGGAGATTTTGTCGGAGCAGGTGAATACTGAAGCGTTAATTGAGAAGATGAGGATGGCTGCGTCTGCAACTTCGCCCAGTCCCACAAGAAGCAGACGAACCATGAGCCCTTGGAAATTAGGAGCCACCAACTCTCATCAACAATACGCCCATCATCAAGGAAAAGCTTTATATTTAAAATATTTTTATGATTTTTTTTAAATTTTAAAATTTAATTCACTTATTAAATTTTATTTCTTCATATTAAATTAATTTAAATATTTTATATTATGTAAATTCATTTTAATTGTGTTTCGCTTATATTTAAAATATTTTTTTGAGTTCTCTAAAGTTCTAAAATTTAATTAACTGATTAAATTTCACTTCTTCATATTAAATTAATTTTAATTCATTGTATTATATAAAATTATTTTTTAATTATGTTTTATTATTTATTAAAACCCATACCCATTTTGGTAATTTTACAAACAATTTTATTTCTATTTAATCATAATCTAAACAACCGTTTACCAATCTCATTTATACAAACTACTTTTTTTAAACTCTAATCCAAACATAATTCACTTTACTCAATTTAACTTTTATCTAATCTTACTTTTCTAAAACTCAAATTGAAAATAAATTACTTTTTCTACCGCCAATCCAAACGGGCCCATTGTATTATTATTATCAATTGAATTTTAATTTACTTTTATAATGTGTGATACTTAATTTTTCAAAACTCTATGGGAATCACACTGGCTCACGTCCATTTAGAATAATATCAATAATTCCCATTAAAAAAAAAGAATAATATCAATAATATCAAATCAAAATATATAGTATATTTCTCTTGAAAATTAGATAAGGTAGTTAGTTGTATAAATTATGTTTCCCCCCCTAAAATGCTTCTCTTTGTAACCATGTTGCGCTGCAGTGTTATTTACATAGTCTTATGTCTAATTCTTAATGTAAAAATTAGTTAGAAATTAAATTTGATTATAAATATAAAATTTTAGCCTACTTTGTTTTTAAAATTTACAATGTTTTTTTTCCTAAAATATCTTATAAATTAAAAGAAATTTCTATCAAGGGATACTTTTAATACACAGATTAAAAATGATAGTTTAGGGAAATCAACAAGTATTTGTTATATTTCACAAACTTAACTAATTTTTTTAAATTAATTATTTAGTTTTTATTTATTTGATTGTGACTTTCTCTGTTTTTACCGCCGTTTCTTATTGGATTCTTTGCATCTTTCGCTCTAAAATAATTTTACCAGAGAAAAGAAAAGTACATTCTTTCTTTTTTAGGCCAAAAAAACTTATTGCTTTATTCGGAGAAAAAGATCGACTAGCCATTATTTGATTGAAATTAAACTAATCAGTATATTTTGTCCAAATAAAAAACTAATCAGTAAATTAAAATGCAATCTCTTGCCGTTTTATATTTAGATGGGTATCAATCTTTTCTCATGCTGCTGTTTTTTTTTATTATTAAATACAATTGTTGCTTTCAAATTAAAGTTTTGAATAATGAATTTGTATCCACTTGTCTATCTACACACAAGGGGATATTTAAAATTAAAAATACATCTAAATGTTTGATTCTTTGAATTATTATACATTAAGAATCTTAAATTTATTAGTTCATGATTATTTGATGCATTGGCCACTAATGATACATTACTCCTTTCTTATTACTTGAGCCAGCTTTATAGTAGCTTAAAGTTCTGAATTGTAGGTGGCTCTAATATTTAAAATTTTAATTAACGCGCAAACGAGGAAAAAAAATCTAGCCCTCAAACATCAATTTATAATGAAAATGTAAATCAGCGTGAAAATGACAAAATTAAATAATTAATTGGATAATTTGGTGAAGGCACCATTTTAAAACTAATGGAACAGCTCAACACATAATTGATTTTCCAATTTTTTGAAAAGAAAACTGAATTGCTCAAATTTTAGATAAAATATTATAAATTTTAGAGACATATATGAAGATAGACTAACCAAGTTTAATTTTTATAATTAAATAAGCTGATCAAATCAAAATACTACTAATTAGGAAATGAGAGTCTGTGGTGTTGCCTCTCACTGGACTAGAGAGTCAAGCGTCTCCAAGTTTCCACAGCTTCTTCTGCCAACACAAACGATATTCGTTTGCTGTTTGGCGATAGCAGTAACAGTTCTCTCCTTTTTCAGCAAAACAGATGAACTACGGGAAATAACAGAGGAGTTGAGAGGAGGAATAAATTTGTGTTCTTGTTGGTTTTCGAAGCCAACCCATTTGGAAACCCTGATATTTTTTGGGGTTTAAAGATGAAGCTTCGGAGGTCATTGCTGAGGTTTTTTCTAGGGTTTCCGCTACTGTGTCCTTCGCCCCCTCGTCAATGGGGAGATTCGTGGTAGAGAAGAACAGCTTGAGGGTGACCTCGCCGGACAAAATCAAAGGTACATATGACAGTGCGATCGGGAACTTTGGGATTCCTCAGTATGGAGGTAGCATGGCTGGGACTGTTGTGTACCCTAAGGATAATCAGAAGGCTTGTAAAGAGTTGGATGACTTTGGCCTCTCCTTCAAATCAAGGCCTGGAGCTCTTTCCACAATCCTTTTTCTCGATCGTGGAAGTAAGAACTTGATGAATTTGCATGTCTTGTTGGGGATTGAGATTAAACTAATCCTTTTGTTTTTTCGGTTTAGTTGATAGTCTTTATGAGTTTTGCAGTTTGGTTCGCTTTACTGCAGATGCTCTCTTCTAGCTCAATCGTTTATTCTGCTTGTTAATATGCAAAAATTGTTTTCTTTGTCAGTGGTTGTTCTCTCGGTTTGCTTTGGTTCATGGATAATGTACCTTTTCGTGCCATTTTGCATTTAAAATTTTGGCCTGTTCTTTTTCCGTGCTCGGGTAATTTGTCTTCTTGTTCTAATTTTGGTGCGAAAAGATTTTGTTCATTAACGATTTTACTTTAATCTAGTTGCTTTAACCGTTGGATGCTGTTTTTTTTTAATTAATTGAATTTGGGTGGTTTGATGCTTAAATGCATGCCTTTAAATTCTAAATGATAATTGAACGTCTAGAAATTCGGATATGTTTAAACTTAGCACAAACCTTTAGCACACATGAAAAGCATGTGGTAGTCATCCCAACGTCCAGCTCCGAGATTTTTGGGATCTTATTTTATCAGTTTGGTTTATTTTACTCAGTCAAATAAAGTAGTTCCTATTGTTTTGTTGATTTAATTTATTTAGAATAAAGAGGGAGTGCTTGCAACTTGCAAGATCTCTGGAGAGATTCTAGGAATAAGTTTATGGCCCTGAGTTATAAAAGGCAGCTGCTGTAACCACGTTGGATGGGTGTGATGGTTCGGCGTCTCGTCCCTTAAGCAACTCTTGTGAATGAAAAGCACCCTGTGGCCAGTCCCCCTACGGCTTTGTGCGCCGACCGTAGGAACGAGGGATTAGTCTCATGCCTACCAGTTGTGGGGATACCCTAGAGGAATATATGTCCTAAACTCTTTTGGCTCCTAGGAATATATGTTCATTTTTAGGGGTCGAGTTACAAATTCAAACTCACTCAATTTAAGATATGATGGATATGAGTCATAAAAAATAAATAAATAAAATAAAAATGGATTCGAATTCATCAAGCATATTACTAGATCTTTTTGAGAATTTGACATTATATCAATATAAAATACTACAAATAATAAATGTTATACTATTTAAAAAAATAAATAATACAACTGATGCTCTATAAAGATTCCATATTTAATTTGGTTTGATAGGCAGAATGCTATGTATTGCAAAAATACGATGTGATTAAAAATTAATTTTATTTTTATTATAAAAACTAATTTCATTTTAGTTTTAGTTTTTTATTTTAATTTTGAAGTGGGAGGGAATGTAGGAGGTTTGATTAGGGTGGTTTAGTATTTTAAATTTCTTATTTTGATATTTGGTCCTTTTATATAATTACAGTTTTTATTGTCTTTCATAATAAATATCATTTTTTTAGGTCTTTCATTCTAATTTTCCCTAAGAATAAAACAGAGCATTCCCGATAAGTTCATTGTTGTCTTCGCTTTTATTATTCTTCTCGTTTTGTTTTAGTTTTCTATTTTTAGATGGTAATAATTTGTTCTTTTTGTTGTAGTTATTTTTTCCCCCATTGAAGACTTGAGTAGCAAGTTATACAGTTATAGGTCTTAAAAGTGTTCTTTTGGGGGTGTATTTATAGTCATTTTATCTGTTCCTTTCAGATTGCTTCTTTGCTTTGAAGGTCTGGAATGCTCAAAAGGCAGGAGCTTCTGCAGTTCTTCTTGTGGCGGATGATGTTGAGAAACCCTTAATAACAATGGACACACCTGAAGAGGATGTATCATCTGCAAAATACATAGAGAATATTACAATACCCTCTGCTCTCATTGAGAAAAGTTTCGGTGAAAGATTGAAGAAAGCCATAAGTAGTGGAGAGATGGTCAATGTAAATCTTCATTGGAGAGAGGCTGTACCCCATCCGGATGATCGTGTGGAATATGAGCTGTGGACCAACAGCAATGATGAGTGTGGGGTCAAATGTGATATGTTGATGGAATTTGTAAAGGATTTCAAGGGTGGTTACACTCAGTTTACTCCGCATTATATAACTCGATACTGTCCCCAGGCATTCACTTTAAGCAAGCAGTGCAAGTCCCAGTGCATAAATCATGGAAGATATTGCACCCCTGATCCAGAGCAGGACTTCAGCACGGGTTATGATGGGAAAGATGTGGTTATTGAGAATTTAAGGCAGTTATGTGCCTTCAAAGTGGCAAATGAATCTAAAAATTCTTGGGTTTGGTGGGACCATGTGACTGATTTTCAAATAAGATGCCCCATGAAGGAAAAGAAATACAATAAGGAATGTGCAGATGCTGTTATTAAGTCACTTGGTAAGTAATTTGTCACATCTTATTATGCTTTCTTGGGTGCTGCTGTGCTGAATGTTGACAATGACATCTCATGTCTTTATTTTAGTTTTGCAGGTCTTGATAATAACAAGATTGAAAAGTGCATAGGAGATACAGACGCTGATTCTGAAAATCCTGTTCTGAAAGAAGAGCAAGATGCTCAAGTACTCTCCTTCACCATTGTTATTATTTTAAATTTAAATTTATGCTATTATTTCTCTGGTTATATCAATTTATCTATCCAGGACACTTACAAAACACTACTAAATTCAGGTTGGGAAGGGTTCGCGAGGTGATGTTACCATATTGCCTACACTTGTTGTCAATAATCGACAGTATCGATTTGCCTTGTATAATAGATATATGGAATTTTCCAATCCTAAGACTTTTTCTTTCTGGAAAGTTAGAGAAAGTTCAGGTGAGTTGAGTTTTAGAGGTTCACCGAAATTAGTCCGTGCCTTATTTATAAATATTCCGCTAATATAAGTTTTTAAATCAGCAGTAAAATCTAAACTTACAATCTTATGAGTTGTAAACCAACTCTTTACCAATTATGCCAATTTTTATCAGGACAAAAATACTTATATTGAAACTCACAGCCGCGCGTGCATGGTCTTTTGTCCTGTCAATAAGGTTCTAGTGCACAGAAAACCACAATTACGTCGAGGACCTGTTTGTCTCCATGTGATGTACTCCTCCGATCCTTAATATTAGATTTAATCATCGAGTTGATTTTGTTCTTAAATATAAGACTTATTTCTCATATTTATTAATTTTTTTTAAATTATCTCATAGATACTCTCTCAGTCATAATCAAGTAGAAGAGGAAAAAAAGATATTAAAGAAGATGATTATGGTGTTTTAGAAAAAATCTGTCATTTTTTATAATTAACTAACTTATCTAACATTCTTAATATAATTAAATTAGTTAAATAGATCTTATATCAAGGACCGGATGAGTATCCAACAATAACACATTATTGAATGATCTATGTCACATCCCGTCAAATTTAGCATTGATAGAAGGGATGAAAAATTTGATTGAGGGCCAGTAGAGAAAGAAGATTGGCTAAGAAAACTAAACATGGTGTGAAACTCAAAAAGGGTTAGGACTGGTATTTTCAAATTTATTGGTCTAGGAAGGACAAAATAGAAAAAATTGAGAAAAATTCTAGAAAATTCATAAAAAGTAAGAAAAGTATAAGCTAGAGGTTTGGGAAATTCAGTTGAGCTCCAAAAGGTGAAATTATTGTGAAAATAAATTGTCACGGAATTTCCCATAAACAGAGATTTTTCGAGAAAATGTTAGAAAATCAGAGGAAAATAATTATTTCAATTAGTTAGAAGTTTCAATAAATCTGAGAAAAATATGGAAAAACCATCTAAATACTTGTTTGAATTTATAAAATTAGTTTTAGGCTTTGGAAGCTCAGAAATTAATTTTAAAGAATTTATTTTCCCGCAGTGACACCGATAGAGGCTTAATGGGAAAAAATTCAAAATAAAAATCTAGATGTGGCAAAAAATTCTGAAAATTTTCAAATCATGTTCTCATATTAAAAGGTGAATTTTCATAGAGAGAAATGAATTTTTAGAGGTTTGGAAAAGTTATGGAATTTTACTGATAAATAATAACCGATAAAGTTTCAAATTGGTTCGAGGTAGTGATTTAGTTTGTGGGCCAGCTTTTTGGACAAGCTCAAACCATTGTGAGGCCCACATTGAGCCTAATAAGGGATCAATTTCGTGCAGCTTCCAGGTCCCTCTATTTTTACTAAATAAAATGTGAAATTCATGGATAAGTGCTTGGAAAAATATGGAAATTGGCCACTTGTTCAAATCTGACTTCTTCTAGCATTTGATGACTGCCACATAACTCCCATGAGGTGGCAAATTTCGTCCAAATAGAGAGAGGGAAGGCAGATCAAATTTTTCTATATATATCCCTTAAGAAAATGCCAAAAAACTGTTGGAAAATTAGAAAAATAAGGGAAAACTCTGCCATTGTAGTTCCAGCTCCATTTGGCTGAAAATATTAAGTGTTTTAGGCAAGAAATCATTCAATTTACATCAAGAAAACATTAAGGTATGCTTGAGCTCCCTTATCTCTAAGTTTTACACTAAGTTAGTAAGGGTTTTGGATTGAAAAATTAAGTGTAAACGCTGTCAAATTTTCACTGGACCATGCGATGGTTAGGGAAGGATAGAGACGTTAAATACCAAGTGGAATAAGCAATATTAAGTGGTGTATGGATTGGTTTTTGGAAAAAAATCTACCTAGGGTTTTAGAGCTTCAATTCGGCCTAGCGCTGTTCATGCAGAAGCAAATTGTTTTGGCTTGATTTGATGATTACAATAGGTTTAAAACATGCTTTTGTGTACAGGTATGTTGTTGGAAAGTGTTTAAAATCATTGGAATCAAAAATAGAATTTTTGAAAATAAATACCCGTACTCGACCACTATGATTTGAGAAGGAAGGAGTTTGATTTCTATAAATCTGATTAGATATTTGGATTCTACACAATAAATTGTGTAGGAATGGACCAAGAGCTTGATAAAAACAAAGAGGAAATAATTATGTTAAAATCAAAGAAAAGAGGGGAATTAAGAAAGTTTAAGATTAAGTGTTGTATTTAAGTTGAATAATTGTTAATATATCTTGGAATTACACTCGAATTGATAAGTTTTGTGAAGAAAAATTCAATGAGAGCATAATTCCTTTAAGGAGGCCGAATTGCATCAAGGATTAAGTGGTAGCATTGAATTATAATTTGAATGTTTATCTTACTTGTTTAATATGATTATGATGATTGCTTTGATTGAGGAACTTATGTTGTGATTATTGTGGATTTGATGACATTAGATTGTGCTTTGGCCAAATGCATGAAAATATACTAATGTGAAAGTGTTGATATTTCTCTTTTAATATGATGCAAAACATGATTTTATGTGACTTGAGGATGTATTGAAGTTTATAACATGTCACATTATACTTGCTTAATTTACATGATAATTATAATTCATTGCTACTGAGATTTCAATGAAATCTCATTCCCCTCAATGATAAATAATCAATAGGAACCTCAAGGATATGTTCAAGAATAGGGAAATGGTATATCGACAGAAGGAATTATGTTACGGAAGTATATGGAAGTGATTTACCATCTTTGTATATGTATGACATTTGTTATGTAATATTATACATGCGTATGGACTATATTAAAATGTGTATCAATGATATGGATACTTTATATGTGAAGAATTGCTCAAGGAATTATGGTTAGGTATGTGTTATATGATGGGAAAAGTTAGATGAAAGGAAAAGAAAAAGAAAAGGCAAGAATGATATGAAAAAGGGATAAAAGTTGACTTTTTAGGAGTAAAGTATGACTAACGTGATTTTGAGTAATTAGATGAATCTAGATCTGAAACTTGGCATGCTTATAAATATCATTTTTAGCTTTAAAACAAGTGATAATTCATTAAATTCGGAGTTTTGTACAGAAAGTTATGTCCTTCCAAAGTTGGGTATAAATCCTAAAAAATTAAAAAATGACCAAATAAACAATATCACTTTGAACGAAATCTGGAAATGATGTATGAGATCTGGATACTAATGAGTATTTTTCCTCTAAAGAGCATATCAAGATCTTTCTATAAAACTTTGAACCATCCCATTTCGATTGTTTTATAATTAGTTATAAATTTTCAAAATTGGTTTAAATTACTATGAATAGTATACGAAAATCTAAAAATAAGAATTGTGAAATTGAAATTTTCTCATACTTAAGACTTGAATAATAGTTTCTAATAGTTCCAATTGATATATAATATGATAATAAAGGAGGTGTTACAATTTATGATTCATAAATCATAGTAATCTTTAAATGTAATCATTAAAGGTGTTGCTAACTTTTAGTTACATGTATAGTTGAACAGATTTTAATTTTGTATCTTGCGAACGTCATCGTATAATGGATCGTAATGGCAAGCAGTTATAAATATGCGTCACATTTGTCCTCCCACTTCATATATTTTTAGTTAATTTTTTTTGGTAAGCTAGTGATTGTCTTTGTCCACAATAATCAGCTTTAATTTGTCCATTAATAACATACCAGCTTGTGCGTTATATGATTATTAAGATTTGATTTTATTGGCTTTAAAAAATTTCTCAAATCAAGATACATGTGTGTGTGTGTATTTGATCATATATACGATATTGGTTAATTAGATCCGTATTTTTCCGCCTCTTTTTTGGCATGTGTATAAGCTTTTAAAGGATTTAAAATTTTCAATTTAATTGAAGGATATTTCATGATATGGTAGTGATTAGGTAAGATCCTTTACCATTTTTTGTCATTTGCTTTTGTTTCTTTTTTGGACCAGCATTTGTTTTGTTTCTACAACCTTATTGCCCTCAATCAATATATATATATATATATATATATATAATTTTCACACGCCCTATATCGTCATCAATAATTGCACACGTCCCATATCTATTTTTCCAATTCAATTAATCAACATGCATTTTAATCAAACAAACATAAATTTATAAAAAGAATATTATAAAGAAATTATTTCATCCGGGGAAGAAACAGAAATGGTGCAAAATGCTGCTACATATAGATAATTATTACTGATAATTTCTCATCATAATTATTACTGGTATAAGCTCATCAGATCAACATGTTTGAAGGGTCCACAGCTCTGTTTGGTCTTCTATTACTGCGCTGGAATTTTATTTTTCCTTATTTGACAAATTTCATTTCAAATAATATGCCAGTTTTCTAAAAAACCATGATTACTATAATTAAAGTGTGATTTTCTTTTTTCCAAGTGATTTGTTAATAAACAATTAATTAAGTTTCGTCAAGCAGGGTTATGAAAACCGATATAAAAATTTAATAAACAATTCTTAAAATTTTTTTTTTAAAACAAAAGCTTAAACTTTGTTAATCATCAATTAATCATTCGTCAAGGAGTTTAATTTAACCGCCCACGTTTTTTTAAAAGTAAAAGAATCTAGCTAACATTGAACCCAGATTTTGTCCAATAAATAATTGAGAGTGATATCACAATATGGATAAAAATAATAGTGTAATAATTATAACGCAGCTTCATTATTATTTATTGCATAATTATAAATATGAATTATGTCAGGATATTGCATAACTAATCCACAACCACTATATATATATATATTTAACTATTTTGATATTATTAACTATATGTGGTTTAAAGTCAGCCAAAATTTCTTCTTGTTTTTTTGGGGCTAAGAATTTAGGCTTAGCCTTATTCTATTATCTTTTTTTTTTCCAATTAAATTCAGCAACATGCTATTTAAAACAAACAGAAATTTATAGATTGAATATTATAAACAAATTATTTCATCCGCTGAAACCAAATGGGCAGATGGCTCTAAAATGTTTAGATTATATAATTCACCTCACGCTAGGAATTTATGTAATCCCTCTAATTCAGACATCTTCTAGAAGACATAGATCCTATATGTTTTTTAAAATTTAATGTCAAATAAACAAAATTAAAATTAAAAAACAAATACTAAATATAATATAGGTGACTGACAAGATAAAAATGAATTTGGACATTTTTTCAAATAATTGTGCCTTTTTTTTGCCAGCATAAAAAATGAATTTGGACTTAGCCCATTTTATTTCTGTTTTTGTGGCTAAAAAATAAATAT